CATCCAATGTCCCTATTTCTATTGTTGATGATGATTAGACTTGACACTTGGAACATATATTTATTAAATTATAGTGTAAAATTTAATAGCTTCGCCCGCAGTGGGCATGCAATTAAATTTTGCGGTTGGAATCGGCTGTAATATTTTTACTTCTTGTATTACACTATATTATATTTACCCAGCATCACTCGGATTTAAAAATGCATTAACTTCAGCCAGGTTCACGCCCCCCCCCCCCCCCCCCCATGCGTCTAAAAATATTTTGATATCACGGAGGTTCGATACTTTACTTCCTGCTCAATGTGCAGACCTCTGCGTTTTTCGGGCCAATGGTTGGGGTCGTGCAATGAAATCATATGTTTGATCGCTTTCGACCCTTAAGGAAGTTTCAATAAGAATTTCAGCTTCGTACTTCTATTTTTTTTTACCAAATCTACCTTAAGTCAATCGAATGGAGGACTAAAAGTTGGAATCGAAGTTTTCGGTCCAGAGTCCAGTAGCTTTAAAAACTTCATTATAACACGTGTTCGTTCGTGTATACTGTAGAACATTGAACATTAAAAAGTGTTGAAATATGTTAATAAGAGGACTAGATATAGCGGAAAACCTGAAACACATCTCAAATTAAATCACAAATAAAGTCGGGAGCTCCCGACAAGGGAATTCCCTGATCCCTTTTCTTCCAACACCAAATGCAGCTCGAGCTACGCGCTCGTTTGCTTTAGTAGTAATAAAGAAAAATTTAAATAAAAAAAAAATTTTTACATTGGCTGGGTTCGAACATGCAACGGTTAGTTGTGTTGCGGTTAGCACCACATGCCGCCGCCTCTGCTCGCCAACCACACCAGCAACTGAGTCTTAATGAGAAAAAAACGAATTAAAATAACAGCACAGAGAACAATACAATCGCAAATGCAATGCTGTTGATAGAATTCAAAGCAGACGCGCATAAATGTGTGTGTGTACATGTATACAGAAATTCTTGGAATTTGCGCTTGCTGCCCCAAACTCGAGGCCAGCAATAACATGCTTTATTTAATAACTTCTGTGTTTCTTAACCAATCTTGATGACATTTTCTACATCTTATTGTACTATAGAATATTCGTGTATTATCAAAAATTGCATTTAAATTGTGGCTTATATTGGTGGGCAGCATAAATTGATGTTTTTACTTGATTTATAGCTATTATATAGTAGCGGGGAGCTGACGATAGGTATAAAATGAAAGATACTTGATATATATATACTATTCTAGAAGCTACATGTCAAGTTTGGTGACTCTAGCTCATATTATTTGCCGAAATTGCTCAAAAAATGGGATTTCGATATCGATTTTTACCGATTACTTGGAAACGGGGCAAGTTATCGAATATCGAAAACAAACACGATCTGCGCGGGCACTAGGAGAACCTATAAAATTTCAAGTCTCTAGCTCTTATAGGTTCTGAGATCCTAGCGTTCATACATACGGACAGACGGACGGACGGACAGACAGACGGACATGGCTAGATCGACTCGGCTATTGATGCTGATCTAGAATATATATACTTTATGGAGTCGGAGATGCTTCCTTCTGCCTTTTACATACATTTGCACAAAAACATAATACCCTTTTTACCCATTTTCAATGGGTTCAGGGTATAAAAAGGTTTAATTTAACTGCGTTACACCATAGTTGCCGTTTGAATTTCCACAGCCGCTGAAACACGAATTCAATAAGTCTTAATTTTGAGTTTTAAAAAGTTGTAAGTCCTACTGGGCTTTTAAATGAGTTTGACAAAAACCTAAAACTTCGCCCAAATTACAGTTGGTTCCACGTTTCTATGCAGAGGTGTGGATTTCCCAAAAACTGTTAAGAGATTATATAACTTTATATATATATTTAAGGTTTCTATTAGAAATTTAAGATATAGACTAAAATCCCGTTGCACATTATTTGATCTACAAGAGCAAATACACTTTATTCAATATATGCTAAACGCACGTAAATGAAAGTCTTGCCCGTTTGTTCGCATCGGTTGTTGGCATGGTTCAACTGGATTTTAATTTTGGTGTTTCAACAGGTGTATGATTTATTAATAAATGTATGCTAAACAGAGCTGTCAGCCGCATTCACGCATATTCTCTAATATACATTTTGTTGTTTTTTCAATAAAGGTATAGGTATGTATGTACTAAAATTAATTTGAATATTCGTTTCGTGTTGCAATGCGATGAAAGCGTTATTTGTTTTGTAAGGTGTTGTTTTTGTTAGTGATATTGCGCTATTCGTTGAGCCTGACCCATTACCACAGCTCTGCTCGTTAGCAAGTTCGTTGCCTAAGTCTTTTGATTTGTCACATGTGTATACTGGAGACTTTTATGTTTATATTAAATTCACCTTAATTTTATACATTAAAGTAAGCAAAATATATATTGGAGTGTGCACTTTCCATTCTGCTGCCCTTCAGTAAATTTTTCAGCAATTTTTTTTGACTCTGTTGAAGTAAGAGACTTGCTTATTGTAATCCCGGTTAAAATATACAGCACTAAGGGCTGTAAAAACTGAAAAATCGAAATCTTTCACAGTTTATGGGCTACTGTATTTAAATTTGACATATATAAATATCTAGATACAGATTTAACAGACAGATGTAATAATAGTCTTTTCGAGCAGCTCTTATCGGTTATTTCAAAGTGAACACCAATTTCGCAATCAAATGCACGTAGCCGTACCTTTTTTACTTAAATCTTTATTTGACAAAAGGGCACGTATATATATTTATTTCTGATAAGGACTTTCCGCATGTATTTTACTCCTTAAGGCTCGACAAACGTTATTGCAATTCGAAATCTCACCGCTGCAGAGCTCAGTAAAGCAACCCACATTAAAAAAGAAAACAAAAAATTATTTGGGAAGCTTACTGGGTATTAAATTTGCCTAAAGTTTTGCACTTGAAATTCGTTTTTGATATTAATGGTAAAATAAATTTTCGCTTGCACTGAAATTAACAAATAAACACACCCAGCCGTCCGAAATGTCACTTGATCTTGTGAAAGATTCACGCGTAACTGAAACCGCTTTGGTTGCAATGCACTCGCAGACAATTCAAAGAGAAATATGTTTGAGGCACATAGTAGTGAGTCAAAAGTATGTGTAGTTTATTAAGTACCCCTCCAACACACTCCCTGCCCTTGTGACATGCAATGAGAAAGTGACAAAATATGCGCTTCGTTGGCTAGAGTAGTTGAGTAGTTAAAGCAATTGCGTATCGAATGGGAAACGAATGAATGAGAATAAAACGAAAATAAAATTAAACCAAAGCGTACAAAACTTTAACGATGACGTTTACAATCGAATATCGGTATAGGCTGGCATTATTATTTAGCTAATGAACTGGTGCAAAGCACTCAGTCCACTGAAATAGACTGTGCCCAACTTTAATAGCACACCTCTAATTTGAAAATTTTTAGGATAAGCATTTGTTTTGTTTTATTTCTTTATTTATTTATTAAATATTTAGTAGGCAATTTTATACAAGCCGACCATGTTTAAATTAAGAGTGTCCGTTGGAATTCGGATTGTACCAATTTACGATGTAGTTAAACGAAATAGCAGATCTGGTGTGATGGGTTCCTCAAATTGGTTTTGTTTTATTTTAATAGTAGCATTTCCCGACGCCACTTTGTTCGTATGCGATTTGGTTATTCTGGTAAAATGTGCGCCATGTCTATAATCTATATATTTTCCATTAAATAAAGAAATTTTCCCTGATTCAAATATTATATGAAAATTGTTGTATGTGTAAGTGGTACCAAATTTGTTGTTGTTCCAACTTGACACATATACAAAGCCGTTCACCATACATTGCCATTACCATTATTGCACTTGTTGCTCATATTAATTTTCCTTCATATAAATTGTCTCTAAATAGGAATATTCTCATTAAGGTTTAATTATTTGTGTGGCTGTTGAGTAGAGGCGGCAGCAAGTAATGAGGCCAGTTGCGAGTTCTCGCACCCTGCCAAAGGAACTTTTTTTTTTAATTTATTTTATCTTTATTACTACTAAAGGAAATTAGCGCGTAGGGCGGGCTGAGTTTGGGGTTGGAGTAAGAGGGTTCGGGGTATCCCCTAGTCGGTAGCTCCCGACTAGAACCTCTTACTTGTTTTAATTTATTATGATTACTTATTTTTTGTTAATAATAACAGATTACATAAATTCTTGACAATTGCTCCTGGATATGATTTAGCATCACATCAAAGACACCAGAGCCAAAGAGACTGATTACGCCATTATATGGCTGTGTTGTTTTTCATGTTACTTAAACAAACTTTGACCACATGCGGTTCGATTGTATTCTGGAACCAAAAATAAAATTCGCAAAAAATCTCCTGTCACTTTGTATAGACATATTGGCTCTGGGCATAGGATTGAGGTGCATGGACATGGGAAATTCTGATTTTTTTATTGAAAATTCAAGGAAATGTATGCTACTTAATGCCACGCAGTTCGTAAAATGTTAGGTTTGCATGAATATTGACTACGATACTAGGATCAGATTTGAGTCTGGCATGACGATACATTAATTTCATTAGTTTTAAGGGCACCGCCAAACCCTTAGTTTCTCATCTACCCCAACGCGGAGTGGTCAGTCTATACATGCTTAAATATAAGCAAAGGTCAAACAACACACTCAGAATTTGGTCGCATGCTTAATGATGTCGCGCTATATCTGCTTAATTAGGGTAATTTAATCTAGAAATCTTAACAATTAATTAGACAACATTCAAATTGAGAGCAAAAAAGTCAGTAGTAGTAATCCCATAAAATTTATCTACAAGGGAACTTTGAATCTTATATCACTGAACTATGAATTCAGTTTCACTTTGAACAGACCCTTCTGATTTTGGTTATAACTTTAACGACTTTTATGAACTAAGAGCACTTTCATTAGTGACTTTATAAGAGAATTTCACTTGAGCGTAACACACCTTTTACTTTTTATTAACGTTACAGAGATAGTTTAAATATACCCAAGCTGGTATGTTTTAACATCATCCACTACCCACTCAACTTGTCCAACTTCAAATCGTCACGGCTTACGCACAACCTATATCAGGTACGACTGTGCCAAGCCAAGCCAGGCTAAAAAGATATCGTTATTCTGCTCAAAGCAGTGCTTTACGCTTTCTCAACCACTCAAGAAGCTATGGAATTGTTTGCCTATTACCTTTTGTTAGGCTGGATCGCTGGCTTGCAATCTTATCAAAAAAAATTATGAAAAATGCATAAATACCGTCCGAACTAGCTGTTTATTTCTTGTAAACTTATTAAAAAAAAAAAACATTTTAATTGCGTAAAACGAAGATGCAATCACTTGTAGTGTAACTATATTTCCGTCCAGGATCTGCTTACGTCTTCGTGTGATGGCTGCTGCTTGAAAATACTCCAGTGGAAGCATGTGAAGCACCGCCGGAGGCACCCAGCGATGCATTTAGCAACAGCCCTAATACGCTGCTTACTAAATGCGAGGTGATTTGCTGAACAAATCCCTCGGAGTTAAATCCAGCGCTAAGAGATTCTTTTTTCTTTTGCCGCGCCAACTCGCCACTTCCATGACGCTCCTCTGACGCTTCCGCGGGTCGGAACTTCGATTCAAGAAAACTGCTGATGAAGTTTTTGGTAAAAGTAAGTGGCTGTGGGGGGCCTTCATCCTCCGGATCCTGCAAAGATAATCAAAACGCAGTTGTAGCTAATGCTAGTCAGTCAATAAGGCATGTGCACAAAGGTTAGTAGTAAAATCATATAACATAACAAGTAAGAGGTTCTAGTCGAGAGCTCCCGACTAGAGGATACCCCGAACCCTCTTCTTTCAACACCAAATGCAGCTCGCGCTACGCGTTCGTTTGCTTTAGTAATAAAGATAAATTTAAAAAAAAACGTTTCCTTGGCAGGGTTCGAACTCGCAACTAACCGCACTACTTGCCGCCGCCTCTACTCAACAGCCACACCAGCCAAAAAAAAAAAAATCCCCTCGGTAGGTCTCGTACTCGTAACAGACCGCACTACCTGCCGCCGCCTCTACCCAACAGCCACAACAATTATTGAGAATAATTGTGAAAAAAAAAAACCAATTAAAATAGCGGCACAGAAAACAATACAATCGCAATTGCAATGCTGTTAATAGAATTAAAAAAAGACGCGCATGAATGTGTGTATATAGAAATTCTTGGAATTTGCGCTAGCTGCCGCAAACACGTAAGCGGCCGAAACACATTTTCTTTTGTGTTTCTTACCCGATCTTGATGTAATTTTCATCAGTAGATCTTATTGTACTATAAAATATTCGTGTATATTCGACGGACATACAGACGGACATGGCTAGATCGACTCGGATCTTGATGCTGATCAAGAATTTATATACTGTATGGGGTCGGAGATGCTTCCTTCTGCCTGTTACATACATTTGCACAATACATTATACCCTTTTTACCCATTTTTAATAGGTTCAGGGCATCAAAATCAGCAAAAAATAATTAAAAAACATAAGTACTGCGCTCAATGAGGCTAACACGGTTCCCACAAAATTGCCCAAAAACTGTCCATTGTTAATCTGCAAAAAACAAAAAATAAGACAAGTTATAATTGTTAGCACAGCGCAGTCGATGGACTGGATGTCTCAGACCTACCGCTCCGCCACCGCCGGACAGTCCATCAAGAGCTGTACCTACATATTGACCCAACACAACACCAAAGTTCTTATTGCCCGAGAGCAGGCCTGACAAGAGCGATGTAGCTGTACTAATCAACGCCTCAATATCTAGGCCACCCGGCTGTCCAATGTAGAAAAAATTTAATAAAAATATGTATGTGCTCCGCTTTCATCACTAGTGTTATCAAAGCTTACGCCAAACAACGTCGAAATAACGCCTGTGAGTGCGCCGATCAATGCCCCAACATCCGAGCCGCCCTCGCCCTGCAGTTAACAATAGTTAATCATATTCGGTTATCTTTTTTTTTATTACTCACACCACTTAAGCTTCCGATGATGCCAACCAAGCCCCCGCCGCCGCCGCCGGCGGCATCAGTTCCGCCATTATCGCCTCCGAGTTCCGAAGAATTGTCATCATCTTCCTGCTTCGCATTGCTTGTCGCTATGGGGCTTACTGCAATAGTTTGCGACTTCAGAGGCGCATTAATAAGGGATTATTCAGTTCTTTATTAAAAAATGGAAATTACAAAATAAAGGTGAATGGATTCTTATTGTCCCATAAGCCTACCATTATCAATCGCTTGAATATTCGAAAGAATATTTCTAGGCACACTGATGGCCGTGGCTGAGGCCGAGCACGTTTAATACATCCATTTGCCTTTAGAAGTAATCTCGATAGTCTATCAGACGAGTTCTACAGGCTTTTGAAAACAAAGTATACTGCCTTTCTAGCAGTTTGACAGGCACCGGACAGAGTAAAATCTAAACTTAAAAGTTTATTAACGACACCATCCTATTCTAGCCTTGATTTCTTCCTCAGTGACTGCTCAAAAACAAAAAAAATATCAATTCAGCGTTTTAGGCCCGGTGCTATAGATACTATCTGGGTACTATCAGATATGCTTGAACTCTAGTAATTGTGCCTACACTGCTACAGACGATGTTCAGTTATATCTTGTAATCATGGAAAAGCAGGCTAATACTGCGCAACTAATGAGGATTCGAATCTTCCAATCAAGGGCAGCGAGAACAATGTCTAGCCATCCTTGCTATGCGAGAAGCTTGTTACAAAAAATATCTCTATGTTAAATAAAATGGGATAAATTATTCGGTACTCCAGTCGGTACAAGAATCGACTACTTTTACATTCAAACGCGTTTATAGCAGCGGCGCCGCAGACTAAGGATTCCCCAGCTTGACTTGGTCACCCAATGAATATGAATTATATTATTATACATTTATGTGTTTTCATATGCATTTATACTTGAATAAAACATAAAAATTAAAATTGCATTTAAAGGCTTTAACCAATCCGAAATAAATTTTGAAAAAATGTATATTAGATTTTTATAAGATACTTTACGTGTTTTAGTGGGAGCTTTACCCATAAATTATTAATAAGCCTAAGGCTTAAAGCAGAATATAATAAACTAGCGGGTATAACCCGGCCTTGCCCGTGGCACGTACATATGTTATAAAATCAATGTTTTCAAAAAGTTTTGATAATGATTTTGAAACTGATCGGACGGGAATCAAACAACTTTTATGCAAATCGGACATAACTTAAAGTTCTCCAAAAAAATTTTAGAAATGCATTTTCCACCGAAGCAGTTTAGATTTTGCGAAAAATATGAAACACGATGATTTTTCTTATAGATCGTTGGAAATAAATTTGAACACAAAACGTCATCCACCAAATCGTCGACCCCCATTTGCACCAAGGAGGGATGGATTTTTCAAAAAGTGTGAAACACCCCTCAAATGAATTTGAATATAGATCTTTGAAAATGAGTTTGGGGCCGATCGGATGGTTTTTCGCGATTTTTCCACACTTGCGGGTGGAATTTCCCGAAACCCCGTCTTAACGTGCACCTACACCACATAAGGTAACTACAGTAAAAAGTTCAGCTTCCTAGCCCTTACGGTTTGGGTTGTGCGTTGATCACCAATCAGTCAGTCAGTCAGTCAGGACAAACAGTTTTATATATAGAGATTGAAGGCGTTTTAAAAAAAGTTTATGGCGCTTTGCTCGATTATAAGCTACCCTGTTTCTAGATTTGAGGTGCTCAGTCATATATTGCACTCAAGTGCGTTTGCATGTATACAATTTTAATATGCTACCGTCAAATTTATTAAGATACATCAGTTTTCGTGCTAGGCTCTCAGTCTTCATGCTAAATTTGGTAAGTCTAGCTCTGAAATTGTCGAGAATTCGGGCTATGTGATTATATTGTAGTATAGTATATATTCTAAGCACTTTATCTGATCCGGGTAAGCACAGGTCCGTTCATGCGGACATTGCATTAAACAAAAATATTTGTTTCATTTTGCGAACGCATTTAAAAACTTAAGCAGTTAGTCACAAATTAAAAATAATATTTACTTTTAAATACTCACAACATTATCCAGGTTATCGAATTCGTTTTTTGGATGAGTTTTGTTACTACTTTCTCCGCTTTTCTCAGATTGATGAACGACCAAATTTTCTCGAAAGTCATCCTGCGTTTCAATGGATTGGACTTGGATTAGGTTAACTTCAGCATAGTCTACACAATTCCCATCAATTGCTGAAATTGTTTACTGACCTCTGGCAATTCAGACTTGATCACAAGCGTTTTCTCAGACTCCTTATTCGGGCCTTCTGGATTCTGTTTTTCATTGGCTGCCCTCTTGTGCAAAATCTTATGACTAGCCTTGGCAAGTGGCCCGTCTACTGTGGCTTGCCTTACAAGGTGGTCCAGGGTTTTCTCGATTTTGGCATCCAAATGAGTCTTCATCTGCGAAACCTGCTGCAGTATGTGGCACCGCAGCTGTCCTAATCGCGTACCCACTTCTGGATGCGCTTCAGACTGCTGCCCAAGAAAATGCTGCTGCTCCTTAAATACATTGAAAACTGCTTGCCGAAAATCTTGCTCATTCTTATCGTTGCACAACACATCCATGGCGCTACTGAGAATGTTGATAGCAGACTGATCGCGCTCCATTTGCTGCTCGATCGCATCAATTTTGGGGAGTACTTCATCGCTTTGCCACATGTCAATCTGTATCAGCTCCTTGACTGATTGCACCAGATGCTGCGCCATTTGCTCATTTGTCTGTCGAGCGCCATTTAGAAATCCTAAGCCAATCAAAGCACGCAGTTCCTGAGGAGGCAGGCTACGCTCTAGCCTTCTATGGGCACTTATAGCACGCAGATACTGAGATTGCAGCTTCACTTCACTGGGCCGAGCACAAGTGCTACTGCAACCGCAGGCGCAGATAATCAAAACCAACAGCAGCAGCTCCTGAGGATGCCTTATGTTGTGCATGGTTTGATCGCTGAACGAAAACTGCGCCCAGAAGAGCAGCTCACTTTATACAGAAATCAATTGTGGCGTCCAATATAATAACATATCATTCATATCGTTCCGATTCAATTCAATCCAATTCATTGAACGTTACAGTTCCAGTAAGTTTGTTTTCCGCTTCGGAAAACTCCACCTGCCCTCGCTTCAATACACAATTCGTTACATTGTTGTTACAATCGTTTATAGACTTAACTTGATATATATAAATATGAATTATATAAGGAGTTGATCAGTGATCCATGTCTTTATTTGATTGCTTAACTAGTCCATGATATGCTAATTTCCTTAAACATAATTATGGTT